GTTGGACACAGACAAACCCGGTTACGTTGGTCATTTATCGTTAAGAACGAACAAATATATAATATGTGGATGTTATTATATGGGCATTTCGGGACGAAGCGGGTAAAATGAAAAATGTAGTATACAGTGAGAATTTGAATAATTTTTTATTATAAATAGTTTTAAAACATAAAAACTTTAACATTAATTTTAACTTAGTAAATTTAGTAAATTTAAATTTTAGTATTATATGCTTTTAACACAAATACAAACACATTATAGAATGATTTTTACGAAATGTGTTCAAAAAATATACTACATTCATTATTGATTTTGGGTACAATAGTTAAATATATGATATAATATAAAATAACATAGTTAATTAACTTATAAACGAATTTTGTAAAAAATATAATTGGTACAATATTGATAGAACACAGATGTGTATCATTAAGAATGATAAAAAACTTTTTTTTTATTCCTCAAATAACTACAAGTAACTTAAAATCTTGTTTCTTATAAAATTATTCATAAGCAGAGATTCTTACTTTTTTTTTTTTTTTAATTGTCTCGCAAGATTTATAACTTTTTTAAGAACTACGTTTTTATGTTTTGATCAATTACACCATTATTATTTTTATAAAAATAAATAAATTATATCGAAAAGTGATATGCTAAATAAAAAATATATTTAAATAAATTAAATATATGGCTTTTATGATGATGGTATTCTTTTAAAATCTATCCTAAATTATAATTGTTTCAGTTATGTATATTATAATTGAACAACTTAATCAAAAATGTGATTCTTATAGTAGTTATTTTAAAATGCAATCAATTCCATGCAAAACACGATCATTTGCAAACGTTTTTGAATAGTATGTTCTTAATGTATAAACAAACAAATAACATAATTAAATGTAAATATTTAAAACAAAAATTAATAAAATATCTGATTGTAGACAGGGTAAAAACAAATCAAAAATAATTTCGTTCCACTTTTATGGGAACAAACTTACTTAGCGTTAAGTACACAATGAAAAGAGAAAACAAAGACTTTAAAATTGGAACCAAAAATTGAATTACTTTATTTTTATTGTTTGTATCTACCGTTGACGTGCCAAATAACAAATAATTACAAAAAAAAAAAAAATTAAAAATATATAAAACATTGAGAATAACACTTAAGTGAATGAATAATTCCAACTCAAAAGTGTTATTTTATAAATCTTATTTAAATTTAGATTTTAATATAGATTTCTAATCAAATTATTTCTAAATTAGTACATTAAAAAAAAAAAAAAAAAAACTAAATTAACTATAATTAATATATTTATTATTATTATTATTAATTTTTTTTTTTAAAGTATGTATTAGTTATAAGGTTGATTTCCATAACAATAAATTCATAGTATATTTATAACGTAACATTACATGTTTCTAATTTACTAACCATATATAGATTGTAAGCTTTTCACGATCAAAAATATTCAAACTAACACAAATGTATGGTCTAAAATATCAGTCAAGCATAATTGTGTAGTGGTATTTTCACAAAATGTAACAATATATGTTTAAATATCCTACCTTCTCTTACATATTTTATTAAATAACAATCAAATAAATTCAAATAAAAGGACTTACCTATACCCTAAGGAATTTTACCAAAATCAGTACTATAAACCACCTTAAATTGTATTTCTTTCATTTGAAACTCGATTTTAATTTATGCCGTAATATATAATGACTTTTTAGTGACACATTTTTAGATCTTTTTACCTAATATTTATTTTACCGGCGTAATTGTTATATAATATGTTTTAAACAAAATACATTTCTCAGTGTATAATCAAATAACAGAATGTATTTAAATATTTTCGTTTTTATCTTATAGATTTAACAAGAGACTTTCGAAGACTAAATATAAAACAAAAAAAATGTGTCACATATAAAATATAAAATAATTTATTTTAGTTAAATTAAAGTATTCTATTTTTTCGAAATATAAAAAAAAAACATTAAATACTAAAATATAAGAAAAACAGTATTTTTATATCTTACAGAATAGATGATTGTTATATGATAACAAACTATGTAGAAATGGAAGTATCCTAGCTGCTTAATGCGAATAGAAAATTATTCAAGAAAACAATAGATGATATTTTGATAATAATATCATATTATTATGATATACACATTTGTAGGTAATATAATGATATTTTGATGAATGACGTTTGAATATAACATATAGTTCTGTGTTTTTTTATTTAAATGCGAATATATATCGTAAATATACATCGCATACTAATACACCAAGACACACGTTATCCCATTATGACATGTATTTCCTACAAATACACTCATCAAATAGATATCTTTGCAGTTTTCACGAATGCGTGTATATTCACAACGTTGGTGTATATGTATTGAAATACGCTGTGTGTGGGTTTGTGAGTAAATAATATGCATTAGTCTGTCGAGCATGAGAGATGGTAATTTTCAGGGGTAGGGGAGATTTATGAATTACTCTACGGTCGAAACTCTTCATTGCACTGCAGCAACTGCATCGTGGTTAATCAAAACTTTTATACGTTTGGTAAGGTAAAACTCAACGTGTGATCTAAGGAATTTCAATGTAAACATACATACATACACACACGTGCGCGCGCTTACGTATATATTTATATACTAGAAATGTGGAGAATACTGTAGAGATAATTTCGTTTTGGCAAAAGTTATTGTTTACTCGCGACGGGGCGATAATGGTTGTTGTGAGAGGGTGTGTATATATTTATGGGGGAGGAGGCGTCTATATGTATGTTTGTCGGTAGCTAGGTAGTTAAGTGTGTTTAACGAGCAGAAAAGGAGAGGTAGGTATATTGAACAATAACATCGGACGTTTTGTTCCAGTAAGTGCAAAGAAATGTGTAAAAGAATTTCGGGAAGGGATTAGAACATGCAATGAACACAGTGGTAAACGACCGGTGATGATGGTTAGGGAGAGTAAAAATGGTATATGTTTGCGTGTGTGCGAGAAAAAGAGAGGGAATAAGTTAGATTTTAGAAAAATACGTGGTGGTGTGTACATGGACCAGAGAAAACCATCTCCTGTCATGATTGATCGTAGAGAATTATTCAACGTGCCAACAACACGCCCAGCCAGTCGATAATAACATCGTGATTGAACAGCTTACTTATTTTTCGCTTCACAATTCCCCTTTCCCCCTCTTTCTCGCTTGCTCTCTCACACTCTTAAACATATACACATACACACACACAAACGCACATAATAAACTTTCTTTACATTCTCTTCTCCCGTACTACCCACACATGCATACCGGTAAAAGCCTTACCCCCATCCATTCTAACCCAGCTAATACTGGCCACCACTGATAAATGATAAATAATTTCAAAACAATAACAATTATATAGATTATAGTACTATTTCCATATTATAACATGTTTTGAAGTATAGGTGCTTTACTTAATATATCATAGATTTAATAGATTTAGGTTCGTGCACAACATTTTTCGGGTGTTTGATCCATTACAATGGATTTTAATGTTGTTACGTATTACATATACGCAAGAGATGTGAGATATCCTTTTTATTTTTTTTAGGCAGTTAAGTATCAGTGATACGATCAGAGATCATAGATGCCACCATCAATGGACACGCACATTATTAAACCACACGCAGTCAATGCGCCATCTACCATAACGATCGATATCAACTGTATAATATATTGTTACAACAAAGCAGGCGGTTAATAAAAAAGAAGTAAACGATAAAAATAACAACCGTGGACAGTTCGCAATTGAACAGTAACTGCATAAATGCCGACTGGAGTGTTATAAAAAATACTATAAATAAAATATGAAAACCCACCCAAACCTGTTTATTGGAGCGTTTCGTTTTAGAGTTACTACTAAATCGCGTTCGTGTCTTAGCGATTAAGTTCCTATTCGTGGCACCATGTAAGATGTGCGAGCTATTTTATTTTTTAAACAAAACAATTATTAATGGATAATTTAAGTTTTTTACTAAACACAACGTTATGATATACGATTTCAGCAGAGACACGAAAAATTAATCAACATTAAAACGCATTGACGATTCTATGTTTCACATACACACAGATTTGTATTAACATTTTAAACTCTTACATTTGAGTTGAGACAATAGTTATAATAATTTAACCTGATGCATGTTCATCTAGAAGTTTTTGGAACAAAAATTAAATAAAAACGCTGACTTAAAAGAGAAAATGAACCGAGACGCTGATAACAAAATTCCGTCAAAGAACAAAGTTGTTAACTATACAATTTGATATTATATTCAAGCTCATATGAAGAAAACAAATTTATTCTCTTTTTCAATAAACTGTATGTAATGAAATATATGTTCAAGTTAATCTAGAATAATCAAAAACACAGATGTAGTATATTTTATATTTCAAATATTAGAGAGAAAATTACTATAGATATACAAATATCATACACTACACATATTATTATATTTGTAAATGTAAATAAATCAATAAATATATAGAGATTTTTCATAAATCTATAATAATCAATTATTATTACTTAATATTCTAACGATGGGTATAGCCGACAGTTTTTAAGAAAAACAATATTTATAATGCTAGTTGTTTTTGCTCGGAAGTCTAATTTTTTTAACTGCTTTGAAAGGTCCATTTTTTTTTAACTTTATACTATTTATTGTTTACGGTTACTACGCAGGTAAGTAATCAATCAATCTAATACAAACATATTATGATAGACGTCTCCTCCTGTCAGTAAAAATATTTTAATTAATCTGATAAATATTTTACATATTTAATAAAACGTGGTTAAGTGCTTGTAGATTTTACTCGACTTTTTAACGTTCAATTAATTTAAATTACAAACCAATAGAATATAATTAGGTTTATGTATTTTTATTTTTAAACATGTTTAAATTAAAAACAAATGTATTTTGTGATTTATAAATTATATCTATCACAAAAAATGCCATAACTTTAATAATTTAAGAGCACAATTTTACAATGGTTCTTAATAATGGCTAGTATCCAACAATATTTTGAGCATACTTACAATTGTTGTGGTGTACTCTAAATAACTTTGCATTAAAATGATTGTCATTTAAATACTTTAGAGCTATGTCCATGATGTTTTCAGAAGCGGGAAGCGCATTTACTAGAACCATAATAATAGGTTTTGCTGTCTCTATAAAGAAAAAAAATATGAAAAATAAAAATATATACATCTGAAATGTACATGAGTCATTATATAAATGTTTAAAGTACTTTCTAGGCAGAAAACCAGGATCATGTATGATTTGAAATCATCAGAATCAACAATAGCACCATGTGGGACTACAAAACCTAAAAATAATTAATACGAGTAATTTTATAATATCGATGGATTAGTTAATCGAGAAAAAGCATACTAACCTCCTAGTCCTTTTATTCTAGCATTGGATTTTATCACAAAACCTGAACAGACAACTAGCTATAATGCTATGATGGAAAATATAAATATAAAAATAATAAAATTATACAATATTGTATATAAATAGCAAAAATAAAACAACGATAAAAAAAAGAACGGATTAAAAAAAAAAAATTATGAAAAAAAAAATGTTAGAAATAAAATTAAAATTATTAAAACTCACTATCCATATTTTATTAATTTATTGTAATCTATAGTCGTTCAAATCGGCGCATCCGAATTGAGTCTCAAATACTCTGGTCTATTCGCAGGTACTACACTAGATGGGTCTGTGATTATTTTAAGCGAGTAACAAAATGTTTTAAGTAAACATGCAATACAAACAAAAAATATATAAGTGAAAAAATGAATGAAAAAAAATGTGGGAATAATTAATCGATTTGAATTTGTAAAATTAATATCTTATAAATTCTTACCAACACAAATGTAATTTTTTTGAACAATATTTTATTATTAGTGGTACTTAACTAGTGTCTGAAAAAATCCCGGACTCGACTGGGATAGTAAATTTTTATTTCGAGACTCAACTCAGATATAGCCATTTCTACGCGTATAAGTAAATTATCAGTTATTATTGAGTAAATACTCAATAATAATGTCAACCGATGTACATGTATTTTATGTGACTACATGTATAGTATCATGAACAACAATAATGTATTAAACCAAATACGTTCTCAGTTATAAAAAAAAAAAATAAATAACTATTTATGATGGAAATGCGTTCAAAGTGGAAAACACTGTCAAAAACACAGAACATCGATGTAAAAATCATATTATAGTTAAAAGCGAGTTAATTATTAAAGCGTTGTCAGAGCACTCACATAGTCACATGCGACTGATGCAATTATTGCAGTCGGCGATTCGAAAAACGAAGCTATACACACACAATAATTATTATCACAACAAATAATTAGCGCTACACAAATACCACTTGAAGTGGTGGGAACTATGCCATCAATAATTTCGATTGAAAATACACACTTCACTGATTTCGGAAAGAGACGACTACGCGTTTCTTTCGATCTAAAATATTTTTTTTTTTTTTAATTTCTGAACAATTTAAAATAAAAAAGAAAAATGCCGCGCTATGTTTGTTGTATAATAGTGGTTCATAAAGTTATCAAAAAAATATTTTTTCTACATCTGATAACCTAAGCATAATGGGCTGTAATGGTGATGATTGGTTTGCTGACGAGACGTTAAACAACATCTTTCATTTTTTAACACATATTTTCAAATAAAATTAAATACACATGTTTGTCAACGAAAACATCTATTGATTAACGACTTTTTAAAATATGAAAATAAGTCTAATTTAAATCGAAAATAAATTGACAGATTTTGAACGTAATGTTTTAACACATTCAAACGTATATGTTTCCAAAATACATGAAACAGAATAGTTGTCATTTTAATTTCACACAATATGTATGAAAACATATCAAACAAATTCTAGAAATGTCAACAAAGCATAAATCAAATCCTAATTTTTCTTTACATATGTTGACGGTCCTTACCGCCGGCTGTGCCACCATGCCATGTCATACACACCTTTGAAGAATTAAGAAATAAATGTTTTTCTCGTATTAAAATTGACTGTAGTCATTAACTCAGGATTTTTATAACAAAATTTTAATTGAACTATTGAGTAACATTCCCTCACATCTCATTTTGCCACTTAGTATAGAACTGTTTTTCCAACAAATCCAGCTTAACCTCTGTTTCACATTATTAGTTTCCTATTTATATTTTCCTTCTTTGTCTCTGATAGGCCAAATTTTATTTACCTATCATTCTATTAACATTTCATTGAATGACTTGAATGACTACTCCTATACCCACTCTCCATAATAACCTTTCAATTCGTGACATTCCCGATTTTATCTTCGATTTTCCTAAATTATCACCACAACACTCACATCTATTGATTTTTTTTTTAAATTTTCCAAGGTACCCTTTAATATTCAGAATACTTTATTTATCAACGATAAAATAGTATATAACGTATCTTATAATTTTTTTTAAAATACAGACTATAAAATAATAGATAAATAGTTATATATACACATTGCTATTTAATTTATTTCTTCCAAATAAGTATTATAACCATGTACATTAAATTGTCAAGATTATATTTTTAGTAAAAATTTTAAATAAAAAAATAAACCAAGATGCTTACTTCGTAGTATTATTTTTTCCATGTTTAACTGTCTATTTCCGATTAATGAAGCTGTTGCTAACTCATATGTTACAGAATTCTCACTAAAATAATTATTTTACTTTTTTTAAATCAATGTAGGCATAATATAGTTTTAAATAATACTGATTTAATGACCCACTTTGTGTTTGAAGAAAACATGACAAATGAAATGGTATCATCTTTTGTACTTATTGTGAAATCAATTCCAATACATTTGCACGGACTTTTGATATCTAAAAATATTTGGTAATTCGCTATTAAATTAACTTTTATATTTAATGATTTTTATAAATACAAAGTTCATTCTTTCTCAAATATTCAAATCATCTAATAAATATAATTTACCAAAATAAATATTTTTCATAAGGTTATGCAATTATAATGTAGATGAATACACATTAAATGTTTAAAATTTAATTGATATACATAATACATAAATAATAATATTAAAACAACTTTAAACGTAGTATATAAAATTGAATTTTTCAATATTTTAAAATGATTTATTGTAATTATAACACTTTTGAAAGGTGTTGTTCAAAAACCAAGTTTTACTTTTAAATTTATCTATGAGGCCTAAATAAGTTTTCAAGTATAATTTAATTTAAAATATAGTGTTGTCAATTATTAAATTAATTACAGGTTTTAACAATGAATTCAGTATACGATATTCACTTGTAAATTGACTACAATAATCCGTGGTTGATGGAATATTTGACATGTAAATGGTATACCATCTCCCGACAACCTTGAACAGAGAAACTTTTTCAATAAACTATCTAATACATTCTTGCGCACTTTATGTAAGTAAGCTTAAAATTTAAACGCATCTTTTTTTTATTTTTATTTTTTTACTTTACTTTTTCTACCGTTTTGGTGTCATAAGCTTTGAACGTCCCACATGTCGATTTCGTGTAGTTAGGATTTCCAAGCCATTCAATATTTTTTAATTGGTCAAACGGCACACTTATCAAGACCGTATCGGGTTTCTGGATATTTAAATGCAACGCAAATGTTAATTTTAAACATCCTAAAATCGTTGCACTTGATAACAATTCTCGTATTGTTGACTCCATGGTTTTTACACTAAACCGTTTGACGCCATAATAACAGAATATTTTGCAATTTTGATATGCATTTCATAGTGCATAAATCAATCTACAACACTTGAACAAACAGTGAATGGTACTATACAGCAGTTCGTTTAATTGCTTGGTAATTATAAACTGATAAAATACTTTAATGCAGCCTTGAGCACATATAATAATAATAAACCATTTATAAGCTCTATTATACAATGTCAGTTTGCTTTTACAGTTTATTTGTGTTTAACATATGGAACTAGGTGCCAATGTTTTTAAATTTATTTATAATGAACATAATTGTATGATATGGTAGGATGCAAGTTTTACAAGTTTATACATTATTAGTGCATGAGCAAGGTAATCAATATTTTTCAATAACTCTTAAAACAATATTTATAGATATATTAATTAAAATGTATGCTGAATTTAAAAAAATAAAAACAAGTCACCGAAAACTCATCACTAAATGTATTAAATAAATTTATCACCAAATACAATCTTAGTTTTATCATATGATAATATTAGTGTAGTACGTAGACGACTTAATATCTTCAAAAACAATGAAGAAACAAAATAAACTCCTCATATTGAAAATCAAACTTGATATTGTTGTATATATTAGCAATAAACTTGCTCTACTTAAATTGTCATAGTTATACATACTCGTATATTATATAAATAGTAAATCGAATAATTATTATTGTTATCGATTTCATTAACGACATAGTAATTTCACAGACATATAATCAACTTCTTCATAAAGAATTGTATTTTACATATATTTTTATATAAGCAATTTATTTAAATGCAAAATCAATAACAGTCTTGTATTTTTACGACTGAAATTATAATAAATCTACCTATAGAAATTCGTTTGGTATAAAATTCAAATAAATAAATACTTCGAGTTCATAGATCGATAATAAATGTAAATCAGTCTCTAGTACATAGTAAAGGAATGTGCGTAGCTATAAGTCATTAGATCTATACATATCAATAATACAAACAAATTAAAAAATACAATAAAATTATTTAATAAAAATATTTAACACGAATAATGTATAATATTTCTATATATTATTCTTTACTATAATTTGCTTAAACATAACTTGATTTTTTAAATTCTTTAAAAATACCGATATTTTAAATAAAAACTTTAATAATGATAGTAAATACACACGCAATACAATTTATACAGCTACGCAATATAAAAAAATTACCTTTTTATTAAATTAATATTTAAACCGTTAAGGATATTTTACTTATTTTTTAAATTCCCGTATAATATAGAAAATAAATATATGATTTCCCATGAAAATATCAGAATAAGATTAAAATATTGTACTTAAACGAAAACAATTTTTTTATCTCGCTATAATAAGTATTTTTAATAAATTATTCACTAAAAAAGTCAACAAATTTATAATTTGAAGTATATTTATTATTAAGATTAAAGTAGATATAGATATAAAATAATTTGAGTTGTCCATTATTTCTCAATAAAATATAATATATTCTATTTACTAATATATCTCATATGATTGTATAATTACAGTATAAAATAAATGTATTTTTTCATGCCAATTTTTAAGTAATAAAATATAAAATCTGTTTGACAGCAACACATTTCCCTGAAATTTTATTTTATGTATTTGCTTTTAAATACATAGTTTTCAATAAATATACAATACATATAAATAAGTATACCTATCGTTACTATTTGGCAGTAATTGATTATTCCATTCAACTATAATGCATTTCATAATAATAATTAGCAAGTATTTTCTCGTTAACATAAATTATTCAAATTTAGTAGTTAGATTGTTACGAGATCATATAAAATACAATAATTTTATAAGTCTATTTTATTTGACTATTTAAAATGATTAAAAATCATTTTTTTTTTTTTTTGATAATCATTATATAATTAATTATTGTTTTAAATTTTCCATCATAAATATAAATTCATAAATGGCATTCAGTTATTTCTCATTTATTTCAAACTATAGTTTTATTATTTATTTCAAAATAAATGCAAAATATCAATCGTTTACTATATTATATCAGTTGTTGAATCAACATATTATTATCTATATACCTCAACATTTAAAGTAAGCCTCAATAAAAATTTAAATTTAGTATGAAACTTTATTAAACACAAATAATAACAAGCATAAAAATAATGAATAATAAATTCTTAGTGCAAAAAACATTATTATTGTGATTTGTCTGGCAGGATCACGAAGGGTTACAGATTATTTATGTTTTTATTTTGTAACGTTCCTGTTTTATATTCACCGTCGACTGGGCACAATGCATCAAGATTACAGAACAAGTCAGAGGATTTGCTGATAAATTGAACAAAAACGTGCAGCGCAACAATTGTATGGACTAAAAAAAATACCGAATATGACAGTGTATATGCATTTTAAGGTTAAATAAAATCAAAAAAAAATATATATATATCTACTACCAGTGGGATGTCATAAATTCGTCTTATTGTAGCGGGTAACAATTATGATTGTAGATAGATGATTTTTTTTTTATACATTTTAAAAATATTAAATTATCATTAATTTATTCTGTTTTCATAATTACATTATTTATTATATAGTATAATATTATGTTCTAATTTTTCCAGGAATTAGTTTTGGGTAAATTAATTCAATATATTATAATGTAAATGAATCATTATTATTAATTATTGTATACCTATGTATATATTTCATATAAAAAATATACGGCATCATTTATGCTAAAAAGATGAAAATATTACAACAAATAAGGAGGTTTCCAAGACAACACAGGCAAGGATTTCTTTAATAATAATAAAAAAAAAAATAATTAAATTAATTTTAAATTGTCCAATAAAATATATTCAATAAATATTTTGTTATCATATTAATAGAATTTGATATTAAAACATAATTAGTTTAAAACTTTTATAAGCTAATTAAATAAATAGATAATTTACATATAGTGTGATTCACAAAGCATAATAGTTCATCTCCATTTTTTAATTTATTAATAAATTAATATAAATTCTGATTTTTTGCATAAAAATATAAAATAAATAACTAATATTTTTTTTATAGTTTGCTTATTTTTATAAATATTGATATGTTTGAATTTGAATTTTGATATACTCGTATTACGTTTCAGAAAATGTGTTTACTAAATAATTTACTATAGAAAAGTGGAGATTTTCATTTGAAAAACAAAAGTTTGTATTTCTATAGGGCACTCTTTAAGAAGTACAAAAAATTTTAAAAGTCAGAAAATAATGTCTTTATATGTATTCAAGAATTTTAAGAATCATATTTTAAATTACTACACTATTAAAAATAAAAAGGGTTGATCATGATTGGTGGATACGCTGTATAAAATATAAATACGTTTTTATAAAATAAAATAATTTATTCTAAACACATAATTATTTTAAAGTTGAACATGATTTTTAAATTTATTATTTCTTTAAGTATTTTATTTTATTTTAAAATAACAGTATAATATATTTTTTAATCACATATTGTAAGGTATATATTATGTCTTCCGACAAGTGGACTGTATGTATTAAAATTAGATATATGTATAGGCTAGGAGATGTATTGAAAATATTAATAGGCCAATATAAATTATCCAATGCACTAAAATATAATTGTGTGAATTTACAATACAATATTACAATATTAGAATAAAATTATTTCAATAAAAAATAACAATTGATAAACTTATAAAACAAACTCTTACCGCGTACTGCGCCACTGCAACAGCCGATAATGAGATTTACGCGACAATCATCAACGTAAGTTAAAAGTTCACACAATAAATTACGCGGAAATTACCAACGCAATTAAGAACGGTGACTGCTTTAGACGATCACGGCGGCCCGTATATTATATAGGGACCGTCGTGGATAGATCAGCAAAGGGGGAGGGGGTGTCGCATCTAGAATATTCGGGCGCTGTTGCGGTGACATGGGCGCATCATCGAATGATCGAGAATATTATCGATCATTCCAGATCTGTACCCAACACATATGATTATTTCAATATAGAAATAAATATAAGATATTGGTGTAATCATAATAATCAATCGATATTCAAAAATAATAATAATAATAATAATGAGAAAAGTAAAATTCTGAAAAGTCAGTGAAAACCAATTTAATATAGCATAATTTGAAATATTCCCTAGAAATGACAACGCTAATAATCTATTAATTTTCTAGTAAGTTATATAAGTGCAATCCAAAGAATTTTAAATAACCGTTTAAATTTTAACTTCATTTCTAATTTTATGTTAAAACAAATTACATACTATTATATTGCGTTTTTAATAGTGTAAAATTTCGACATTTTTTTCGAATATAAGTAATATTATTATTGTTTATTATTATTTTCAAAAACATGAATAAAATAATTTAACAAAGAAGTCAATTATAAACAAATTACATAATATAGAAGTCATAGAAAACTAATATTTGTTACTATTTTGTGTAATAATAATGGTTTTAATGTTTATTATTTATTTATTTATTTATTTTTTTTTTTTTGATGAAGTTTGCCTACATTTTTAATTTTATATTCCAAAGTCTTTTTGAAAATGTTGACAGTTAAATATCATATTTCCATCGAGTATTAAATTAATTGAATCTAATACACTTCCAAGAATTTTTCCTGGACAACTCAAAGACCTAATATCAGGATTTGATCAACCAATAAACCTAACTATTAACTATCTGTCTCATAAACTACGAGAATTATTTGTAAATAATTAACTTATTACACTGTATTTATATAGATTTTGATTGTTTAAAAATTTTAAATAAATCTTTAACTTGGTAAAAAATATTTTATTTTTTTTTCAAACTAAGTATGAGTATTAAAATATAAGCTATTATAGGTAATTACTTAATATAAATTAGATTAAAGATTTTCATAAATTTCCATATTTTTTCCTATGAGTTTTATCGTATGAACAATAAGTACACAATACAAT